ATGCCAAACACAGTAACAAGAAGTCTCACAATGGAGACGTTACTGGGCCCGCTCGAGCAAATCGATGAACAACGGGAGGACAGTGACAGTGACAGTGAATTACTGTTAAGTGATAAAGCTTCAAGGAGAATTTTCATGGATTGCAAGGCCAGCATCAGGGGGAATAAAAAGCCAGACACCCAACTATTTGCGGGGGGGAGGTGTAGTTTGCACAGGAGATGGAGGGACTGAGGGTTCCTCTTGGACAGGGAAGGGGAGGATTTGAGGGTTTCTGGGAAGCCAAGGCCACGTCAGGAGAGTTGGCACCCGAGGTGGACCAGCCGGAAAGGGCTAGGCATGGATGCACATCTATGCTCGTGCACAGATGTTTTTCCAGATGCCTGTGCCCAGGAGGGTCGCAGACCTGTGTCACGGAACACTTCTGGGATGAAGTGGGGAGTTTTAATTTGTGTTTTGGGGCCACCCCCGGCAGTCCTCAGGGCTTTCTCCTAGCTCTGTACTCAGGGATCACTCCACTCCTGGCAGTGCTCAGGGAACCCTGTGCGGTGTCGGGGATCGAACGTGGGTCTTTGCTGTATGCATGACAAGTGCCGTCCCCACTGTACTACATCTCTGGCCCCTCTTAACTTCCTAAAAGATAGGATTTACACTTTGAAAATGCAAGCAAATTACGATGTGAATATATTCTTTTTTTTAAGGGGAAAGCCCTTTATATTGAAATGAGAGAACCTTGGTTTTTGGGGGGGGACCCACACCTGGTTGTTCCCAGGGGCTGTTTCTGACGTGGTGTCAGGGATTAAACCCCAGGACACACTTCAGACCTATGAATTCTCTCCCTGTTCCCTGTTTTCCCTGAAAGGGGCTCCTTAGAGTTGCTGGGAGTCTGTCTTTCTCAGGGTTCAGTGGTCATTATCAGAGGGGAGAGTCAGTGCATCAGAATGGAAGGAGGAGGGGTTGGGGTGACATTTGCCTTGCAACTGGCTGACCCGGGTTCGAGCTCCAGCAACCCATATGGTCCCCTGAGCCCTGCCAGGAGTCAGCCTTGAGCATTGCCGGCTTGGCTGCCACCTCCCCCAAAAAAGTTTTAAAACGTATGGAATAAGGATCCCAAGACTTAAGAAAGAACTTGGTGGAAATATAAGTGCATGCACTTGTGTGTGTGTGTGTGCGCTTGTGTTTGCACATACATGGTATGCACATGCATACATGTATGTATATATGTGTGCGTGTTTGTGTAGCACTAGGGAGAGAACCTGGGACCTCACACAGGCAAAGACAAACCCTATGCTCTACCACTCAGTTACCTCCTCGAACCCTAGCGGGAACTTTCCTGGTGCTTCTTTTTTTGGGGGGGTCACACCTGACGATACACAGGGGTTACTCCTAGCTCTGCACTCAGGAATCACTCCTGGCGGTGGTTTGGAGGACTATATGGGATGCTGGGCATCAAACCTGTGTCGGCCACATACAAGACAAATGCCCTCCCTGCTGTGCTGTCGCTCCAGTCCCTCCTGGTGCTTCTTGGACAGCCAGGCTGGTGGCCCAATACAAGCATGTGTGTATGCTGCCAGAGCCTGGCAGTGCTGGAGACCTCGGGACTCACGCCTCCCGCTCAGGGACACGTCAGGAACATGCAGACATGACCCCACTACTGTCCTGCCCCCCACCTCTCTCGGCAATCTGGTCACAGAAAAATCAAGTCAGCTGGGGCTGGAGAGATCACTGGTGGGCTCCAGCACTTCTCCAGGTGGTCACCTGAACTGTGACCCATCACATATGGTGCCCTGAGCATCACCCCTGAGTACCGCCCCAGTGATCCTTGAGCAATCTTGTGTGTGACCCCAAAACAAACAAACAGAAAGTTGGAAAACTTTATTCCTGGCTCTGGGCTCAGGGTTCACTTGGAAGATGCTGGGGATTGAACCTGGGTCAGCTGTCTGCAAGGCAAGCGCCCTCCCTGTTACACTATTGCTCTGGCTCGACAGAAACTCGTTTTGCCCAACGAAAGCCCTGCCTTCGTCCAGCCAACCTTGCCCCCACCCCACATCTTTCCATTCCTCTGTCCAGTTCTTGCAAACGTCATTCCAATTTCCCAGGCATAAACACACATCCTGGGCTGACCTCTCTCTCTCTGCACTAAGGAATTACACCTGGGGAGCCATATGAAATGCCGGGGATCGAACCTGGGTCAACTGCGTGCAAGGCAAATCCCTACCCACTGTACTGTCCTTCAGGCTCAGGGCTCATTTCTTTTTTCTTTTTCTCTCTCTTTTTTAAAACTTTTATTAGTGAAACACCATGAGGTACAGTTGTAGACTTACAGATCTTTGTGCTTGGGTTTCAGTTATACAATGATCAAGCACCCATCCCTCTACCAGTGTCAGGGCTCATTTCTGATGGGGTTCATTTCTGTGGGCTGCCAGGGATTGAACCCGGGTCAGCTGCGTGCAAGGCCAGTGCCTTACTGGCTCTTGCTATTGTTCCGGACCCTCATTTTTATCTCCTGGTTGGCTTTTCCTGCTGATAGAATGGAAAACAGGTGTGAGTGACTGGCACTCGCTTTGCTTTTACTGCCCCGGGCTGGCCGTGTCTGGGAGATGAAAATTTTGCCTCACTGGGTATTTCTCAGCCCAGAGAACCCAAGTAGACAGCGCTGGGGGCACAACTCCTCTGTCAGCCACGACTACAGCTGTGTCCAGCTTGGCACAAAAAATCGGAACCTGGGTCCGAGATGCCGAGACTCTTCGGCTTCGCACAGTTCTGTGGTGGTCGCTGCTGGGACCCAAGTGAGTGCTAAGCCTTTGGTCGCGCCCACTGGGTTCAAGTTCCCAACTCCAGTGCTGTCAGCATGGGTGAAACCAAGACCCCTGGCTTCGATGGAAGAAGGCATGTGCTCCGTGAGTACCATTGGCAGGAAAGCATGGGACACGCATGTGCGCGGCAGCCTTGCAGGATCCCCGCCCCTGTATCGTCATGCGTGGGCACAGCAGCTCTCCGCCATGCTCCCCCCGCCCCGCCGCCCCGTGCACCATCACACCTGCTCATGGCAGCTGTCTGCACCCCACCCCATGCAATTGGTTTCATTTCTCACCATCTACATTTGCTGTGAAAAAAGAAAAAGTGGGGCTCACCCAGAACCCACCTTGTGTACCTGCTGCCAGGGATGAGCAGAAATGCACCGGCAGCTCTGAGCTGTGGGGTCTGCCCGAGGGCGTGCGCCCCTCCGCCCCCCGTCTTCTTGATGGCTGTGTTGTGAGCCGTGTTGTGAGTGTGGAAGGGGAGGGCCCTGTTCCTGCAGATGCGCCCCTAAATTCCTAAATTGGGGACCCTGTGACTAAGTGTGGACTGTGCTCACACCCACCCACGTAGGGCACAGGGATCTCGACTTTTTTTTTCCCTTTTGAGTCACACCCGGTGATGCACAGGGGTTACTCCTGGCTGTGCACTCAGGAATCACTCCTGGCGGTGCTCCAGGGACCGTATTGGATGCTGGGAATCGAACCTGGGTTGGCCGCGTGCAAGACAAATGTCCTACCTGCTGTGCTATTGCTCCAGCCCCGGCCCCTGACTCTCGTGTTCATGGGGACATACAGGGAAGCACAGAATTGCTCGCTCTGCCTCTTCCTGCACTTGGGGTTGCGGCCGGCCCGGAAGTGAGTTTCCCTACCTGGCGCCCCGTCTGGGAACCCCAGGGGAATCTTGGGGAGGGAGCCTGTGGCATTAAAGGTTTGGCACCCACTCCGGGTGGCTGGAAGTGAGACGGGGTGAGGGGGCACCCCAGAAGGGAGTGGGACTGTGGGCCATTTTGCACAGTGATTTTCCTCCGTGTCTTGTTCCCCGGGACCTCGGGGCCCTGCCCTCTGCGGGGTGGGGCGGGGCCTTCTAGTTCCGGCGATGCGTGGATTCTGCTCTCTCACTCCTCTCAGGGATGCTCCCCCCGCGTCTCCCTGCCCCCCACTCCCAGTGGCCTCCTGGCTCTGCTGCTGCTGAGTCCGCATCCCGCTGACACGGGTGTTTTCAGGCCCAGCCAAGCCGGGAGCTGGAAGCTGCCCTGCTCGCCGTCGGGGCTTGGCTGGGCGCTGCAGCTGTGAGTGAGAATCCAGGTTGGCGAGATCCAGAGGTTTCTGTGTCACTGGGGGTGGGGGGCACGGAGCGGTTCGCAAGAGACTCTCAGCTGCCCCTCTGGGGCCAGACTGCCTCCATCTCCTGCGGGCACCAGATGCCCCATTCATCTCCTCTTCATCTGGTTGAGCATCACACAGCTTAAAGGACCCCTGGATCAGGGGTGGAGACCCCCACCTGGCACACTTGAACCCCGAGTTCCATCCTGGCTCCCCCTGTGCGGCCACCCCTTCCCTCCAGCGCTGCTGGAGGAGTGTCTCCACGAAGAAGCACAAAGTGCCTGTGATGCCAGTGGCACTTGGTACCTTCACCGCGTTACTGTGGCATGGCCACTCGTACCAGAATGTGGAGCGGGGAGAGGATGGTGGAGGAAGGCGCTGGCCTTGCACACTGCTTCCAGCAGCTGTCCCCGTAGGATCCCTGGGCCCCGCGGAGTGACCTTCACCTCCAGAGTAGGAGGATCCTAGGACTTAGGAAGCACGGGTTACAGCACAGCAGTTGGGGTGCTCCCTTGTGCCCAGCTGACCCGGGCACCATCCCGGGCACCCCAGAGCCCTCCAGGAGTGATCCCCAAGCACAGAGCCCGGAGAAAGCCCTGAGCACTGCCAGGTGTGGCCCTCAAACCAACCAACAGATGCTGCAAGGGTAGACAAACCTTGAGTGCCCCCCGAAGCCCCACCTATGAAAGAAGCGTCGTCGTCAGGTGTAGGTTTGGCTCCTGCTGGGGACTTGCTGAAGTGTCCTCAGGGGGGAGCTGCAGGGATCCTATAGGGGAAGACTTGGGGGACACCGTCCAGTGCGGTCCATGCGGGGAGCCTCCAGACCCCCTTCCGGCCCCTCTCCCAGCCAGAGAGATCTTTTTCCTTGATTCTCCGCCACTCCCTTTGAATACATGATTCTAGCCACCATTATCGCCAACTGCATCGTCCTTGCCCTGGAGCAGCACCTGCCGGACAACGACAAGACCCCCATGTCAGAGAGGCTGGTGAGTGTGCGGGGAGCGGGTGGGTGGCTGGGGAGCAGCTCACAGGGTCCAATCACCCCCTCATGTTCCCACACTTTCTAATTTGTGAGTGGGGGGTTCGGGCTGCTTCTGGCAGTGCTCAGGGCTTACTCCTGGTTCTGAGCTTAGGGGTCACTCCTGGAGGGCTCTGGGGTGCTAGAGTGAACCTGGCTGGGTCAGCCATGTGCAGGGCCAGCGCCTTCCCTGCTATGCTGTCACTCCGGCCCGATTCTTAAATTTTAGGGTTCCCACTATTCTGGAGGAAAGCTTCCCCACACCCCAGCCTAACTGTCCGTGGTGGGCCATGTATGTGTGTGTGTTGGCCCCATCGGCCATGAAAGATCATCCTGAAAACAGCATTATTGTTACTTGGCTTTTCCTTTTTGTTTTGGGGCCACATCCAGCAGAGCTCAGGGGTTACTCCTGGATCTGTGCTCAGGAATTACTTCTGGCGGCAGTTGGGGGACCCTGATGGGATCGAACCCAGGCCAACCATAGGCATGGCAAACACCCCACCTGCTGTCTTACTGCTCCCGTGCCATGTTGCTTGTTTTTTGGGGATTGCTCAGTGGGTGCTGGGGGCCCAGGGGTCTGGGTATAATCTGCAGGGGTCGGGTGAGACTCTGGCCAGGACCAAGCCCTCACCCGGCTTTCTCCTCCCCAAGGATGACACGGAGCCCTACTTCATCGGGATCTTTTGCTTCGAGGCCGGCATTAAAATCATCGCTCTGGGCTTCGCCTTACACAAAGGCTCGTACCTGCGCAACGGCTGGAACGTGATGGATTTCGTGGTGGTGCTCACAGGGTAAGCAGCAGCTGAGCCATTGTCCCGGCAACCGAGGACTCTGGGAACGCAGTGCTCAGGACAGGGGCCCCACTCCCGCCCCACCCCTGCCCCGCCCCACTTTCTTCCCTTCAGACCTCCCTGGTTCCTGCCCCGCCGCCCATGAGTCAAGGGACACTTTCTGCTTCATTAGCGTGTCGGCTGCGTCAGAAACTCTTTATAAGCATCCTCCCATTCAACCGTCCCCGCAAACCAATGAATTAAGGAGTATTAATATCCTCAAGGGCCCCCTGCGCAGTTGGGGGAGTGCGGGGAGGAGGCGGCTCCAGCTTGATGGGGCCAGGAGCCGCACCCAGGCAAATGAGCTTTCAGAACTTGAGTCTTAAATGAAGGCGGCGGGGGGGGGGGGGGCGGGGGGGGGAGGGGGCAGAGGGAGAGTGTTTGCACTTTCCACGGCATGAGCGTGTAAAACACATCCGGGACTGAGTGTCGCTGCTGCTGACCACAGCAGCGTGTGAGAACCCGGTGACATTTCCGGCTGTTTCTCTGTGAATGCTCCCTCGGGGCTCATGTTGCGAGGTGGCCAATGGGCGCTGGTCCCGACCCACCCGTTTGCCCTGCTGCATCGTATTCTGCAGTGGGACACGTCTCGCGGGTACTTATCCATTTGGGCTGTTTCCAACATTGGGCTATTTTGAACCAAGCTGTCCCCTCATTCTTGCAAGCGGATTTCTCTGGGGCAAATGCCCAGGAGTGGAACTGCTGAGTCCTATAGTCTAGGGAACCTCGGTTTCGCTGGCTAGTACCAAATTGTTCTGCAAAGTGCTTGGGCCAATTTAAGTTCCCGGCGGGGCGGACGTTGGCTGACAGGAGTTGGCTTGACCTTGCTGGCAGGAAGGAGCCTTCAAAGCCCCTGTTTGTTTGTTTTTTTTTTTCAGTGTGGCTCTCCGTTCGCCCAGGGACACTCATAGACCCATAGTGTAGATCAGCCTCTGGTCATTGCCTCATGGTTGTTCATTTTCCCCCAAGACCCTTGTTTCTGCATCTCAAAGAAAAGGTGGTCTTGAGAGACAGGACAGTGGGTAGGGCTCTTGCCTTGTATGTGACCAATTCTGTTTTGATGCCTGACATCGCTTAGGGTCTCCGAAGCCATGCCAGGAGTGGCCCCTGAGCTTAGAGTCAGAAATAGGCCCTGAGTATTGTTGGGTACAGCTTCTCCTCCCATCCCCCCAAAAAAGCCAACATGAAACCAAAAAGTGTTCTTTTCCCCTAGTGTCCTGATTTCTATTGTGTCCCTCCCTGGGGTTCTTCATGTGGGACAGACAGGACCTAAATATGAATGCTCATCATGGTGTGTGCACAAAGGTTGTGTGTGTGTGTGTGTGTGTGTGTGTGTGTGTGTGTGTGCGCGCGTTCGCAGTCTGTCCTATTTATTAGATATTTTTTCAAAGGGCCGTGATCCTCAACCTCAGTGAGCCATTATGCTGGGCTCTGTCCTGTTCTGTAATCCCACTGCATTCACTTTCCCTCCTGCTCATTCCTCCCCATGGCTTCAAGCAATCAACTCTCCTTCCTTGCCGCCTCTTGGAGTCCCTCTCCTTCCAATCAAACACATAGCTCAGATTTCATTATTTCCAATTCCAGGAGGCTGTTTTGTCTCCCGTTGGATTAGCTGCTGGGAACAGGGAGAACCCGAAGGGCATTACGAGCCCAGCCTCCTTTAGGGCCCACCATAGGGAACCTGCAGCTACACGTTAACTTCGCCATCAGGGGCGGGGGATTTGACACTGCGACGAAGATGATTTTTCACAAGTACTTTCTGTTGGACTCATTTGTCTTCTCATGTCTAAGCGTTAAGACATCGTTCACGGAGCTGGAGAGATAGTAGACTGACCTAGGTTCTATCCCCAAGCACCTCCAGGAGTGATTCCTGAGTGCAGAGCCAGGAGTTAGCCCTGAGCATTGCCAGGTGTGCCCCCCAAAACCAAAAGAAATAGACAAACAAAAAAACTCCAGATGTGTTCAGACCACTTCTGAAAAGGTCCTTAGCAGGCTGAATCCCTTACAGTGACCGTCATTCATTGTAGCATTCTTCCTGTTTTCAAAGCCCTTTTACTTCAAGCAGAGGGTCCCAGAGGAGGGCAGGGAGAGAGAAGGTTGAAAGAAGGGGGAAGAGATAGAGGGCACCCTGGACAGCGCTCGGACGCAGGCAAGGTGTTTCAGCACCGCGGACAGCGCTTGCTTCACCTGCGGGCTGGATCAGCACCGCGGACAGCGCACAAGGTCCAGCGAGATTGTTTCAGCACCTCCGGGCCAGCGCTCAGCCTCCTCCCTCTGCTTCCTGATGAGGTGGAGTGGGACCACGCCAGGGCCAGATGGCCCAGGTGACGTGCTTCCGTTCCCGGCCAAGCTCCTTGGCCGTTTTCCCCATGGGGCTGGAGGAAGACTTTGCCGCCCAGTTCCCCGCAGGCTGGGGGCGGAAGTGGAGGGGGGGAGCCGGGTGAGGCCTTGTCCTCTTGAATCCCCGTGACGAATGCCAGCCTGCCCGACAGAGGCATCTGGCGCGGGTTCCGGGTGGGTGCAGATAACGTCAGGTTGAGCGGGTCTCAGAGGGAGAGCTCCTATAACTCGCTTTGTGCTGGGCCACTGCGGAAGGACAGTCTTCCTCCCTCCAGCGAGAGCCCGATTCCGATCCACGGGTGAGGGTGCCCTTAGGGGGGGTGGAAGCGAGAAGAAGAGCTGAGATTTGGGGGAAAGTCGTGTGGAATCGTACCTCTTCCTCTTCTCTGCACTCTTCTGCCTCTGTTCAGCTCGTGTGGGACCTGCAGAGTGGGTGGGAGGGTTGCGGTGCTGTGCCACACTCCAGCTGCCCAGCCGTGATCTCTGGAGGGTGCCCGCTGGGCAGCTGCCCGCAGGCTTCTCATTGTCTTAGCGTCTGGTTCGGCTCACCCCCAGGGCCGCCCCTTGGGCAGACCCACACACGCCTCTGCTGTGTTCCTCAGCCGTTCCTTCCCTCCAGGTGTCCGGTCTGAAATTTTGATGCCGCCCCCCCCCCACACACACATACACCCATACCCCAGCCTGCTGCAGATTCTGCAAGGATGCAGCTTCGAGAGAGAAATGGGCACTTCCACCTTCCCCCCTCACCCACCGCCTCCACTCTGGGCCAGGTCGCCCCCATCTCTGCCCCGGGGCTGCATCTGTTCCTGCCCTCTGTGACCCCTCCACACTCCACCTGCCCTATCCTGTCACATGCGCAGGCAGCTGGAGGGATCCTCTCCGGCAAGTTTCTTCAGCTTCTTTGCTCCTGGCCGGGGGTGGCAGAGTCCATCTTACAGCCTGCAGAGATGTGCCGGCTGGGCCTCTGCTCACCACCAGCCCAGTCTGCCCTGGTTCCATGGGCCTCGGCTGCCTGGAGAGTCTCTTCTGTCCTCAGACCCACAGGAACTTTGCACCAACCAGGGTTCTGTGCTCGCCCCCGTGTCTGCTCAGCCTTTTCCCACACCCTCCGGATTTCACACCTGTCCCCTCTGCCCTCCAACCCAACCTACAACTGGCCCATCTCCCTCCCACCCCCCACACACACCTTCATTTCCTCCAGATTTGCCCCCTGCAAGCACTCAACTGTTTGGACAAGCATATTTTTGTGTGTGTGTGGCCTCACCCGGGGGTGCTCAGGGCTGGCTCCTGGCTCTGTGCTCAGGGATCACGCCTGATGTGGCTCAGGGGACCCTGTGGGGTGTCGGGAGCTGATTCCAGGGTGCTGCTTGCAAAGCCGGCACCCTCCCGCTGGACTGTCACTCCCCCTGCAGGATACCGTCCTTATTTGCTTGCCTGTCTCCTCCTGAGGTCACGGGCGCTCGGGGAGGGATTTTGTTTCTTCGGCACGTGGTTGTGTGTGTTCGTGTCACGGGGCCCAGGAAGGGCTCCATGAATGATTCTGAAGGGTCAGAGGATCGATGGGCCCTGCTGTGGGTCAGTGTCAAGGGAAGGCCTCGCCGACCACTCCCCTGCATCTCTGTGGCTGCTGCCCGGGCGCATACGCGTGTCAGTTGCTCGAGTGGCTCCAGTGCCGTTTGTGAGCTGCACGTGCCGCGTTTCCTCATGGCACACGGCGGCCAGAACGTCACCCACTGCTGCGGGTCTGACCGGGGCACTAAGTCGCGTCCGATTCTATGTTGGTGTCTCTGGGCTGTGCACGGAGAAGTGCTCACAGGCGGGCGCGGGGGGCGGGGTGCAAGGGGAGCTGGCAGGTGCGGCGTCACGTGGCAAGGACGTCACTCACCTGTCGGGGGAAGGACAAATCAGTGACTCTCATGAGTCACTGCAGCCCCGAAAAACTTTGAATTTTAGGAGTCAGGGGTTTCGGGGAGGAAGGGAGAGACAGGTAGGGCAGGCGGGCTAGTGGGGGGTGCTTTGATTTCTTTTCTTTCTTTCTTTTTTTTTTTTTGCTTTTTGGGTCACACTCGGTGATGCTCAGGGGTTACTCCTGCTTTGCACTCAGGAATTACTCCTGGAAGTGCTGGGGGCCCATATGGGATGCTGGGGATTGAATCTGGGTCGGCCTCATGCAAGGCAAACGCCCTCCCCGCTGTGCCATTGCTCCGATCCTGGCTTTGATTTTGTTGCTGCAAAACAAACAAACAAACAAAAAACCAAGAAGGAATTCCCCCCATCAGCGACGAGGTGGGGGACTTCCCCCATGAGGGGTGAGGTGGGGGGGTGCCTGCTTCCGCTACGTCTCTCTGTCGTTTAGATTCTGGTTTGAGAGACCAGAGAGACAGTAGGGCACAGAGGGTGCTCCCTTTATACTCGACCTACCCGGGTTAGATCCCCACCACCCCATATAGTCCCCCAAGCCCAGCAGGAATGATCCCTGAGTGTAGAGCCAGGAGTCAGCCCTGAGCACTGTCGAGTGTGGCCCCAAAACAAAAGATTCGGTTCTGTCGTGCTGACACCCCTGGGCCGCTTCTCCTGACAGGTGTGTGCGTGGTGGGGGCGGCATGCAGGGGGTTCTTCTC